AGAGGTGACCCCTGCTTTTCCACGCCCGTTCCTGGGTGTCAGTGCTGCCCCCTTCTGCGATTGGTGCCACGCCAGCGTTTGCTTTGTCCCTAGAAGGGCTGTGGCAGTCTGTGCTCCCCTCGCTTCGGGGTGGCCCACGCTCAGGGTTGGATCTTCAGGGCTCCTGCCGCTCCCCAGGGACCTGCCCTATACTTGCCGAAGTCAGAGTAGGCTGTGGGGGTATAAGTGCAGGTGGACAATGACGAGGGTAGAGAATCCCCAGGTGGGATAGGGCTCCACCACTGGTGCACAGCCAGGATGGCAGCGGGCTCCGTTTGGGTCTGAGGAGAATGCAGGCATCCCTGAGTGTCCTGGCCACACAGTTCTCCGTCCCTGGGAAGTTTGCAAACCGCTATGATGGTGTTGCCCTGTCACAGGGGCAGAGGGTCTCCCCAGCAGTTTAGCAGTGAGCAGACTGTCTGAGGGGTGAGGGGAGCAGAGAAGCACTCCCACCTGCCCTGTGGCACTCCACGTTCCAGGGGTTGATCTCTGCCAGACTCCTGCTGCTTTCCTTTCTGCACCCCGGCTACTTCCTGTGGGCACCCCGACAGGACCTGGCTTTCTCTCAGATTTCCGTTTGTACCTTGTCCATTCACTGGTAACTAATCTTTCTGAGGAGAACTTGTCCCTAGTCAGCCGTCTTGGAAACTTACCAAAATTTCACTCTAGACGTTTTACAGATAATCCCATAAATACATGTTATTGGATGGAGGTGTTAGTTGATATGTATCTGCTCCTTGGTCCTTTTGTATCAGCCAGTGGAAAACTGGCTGAGCATAAATAAAAAGACTGTATAACTGAAAAAAAAGTATTTCCCAGGAGAAGCCCTTCTAAAATTTTTGTTTTAACAGTGGAAATAACTATGTTTGTACCAAGTCCTTGACATTAGGATGTGAGTTCCCAGAGGGTGAATTAGGTGCTTTGGACAGGGAAGCTGAGGCCAAAGCTTGTGTGGTGGCTCTGCTGCCATCCAGTGGTGAGGGAGATCGGGAAAATCTTTTAGCCTTTCTCAGCCTCAGTTTCCTCATCAGAAAGATCAGGTTATTGTTCTAGTTCTCCAAGGTCACGTTCTACTCAGTTTTCTCTGAGTCTGAGGGAGCGAGATGGGTATTCAGCGTACTCCGGACACTGCCTGGGAGACCTGACCTTGGTCCCGACTGCGTGTTTTCAGGACCTGGCCCAGCCTGAGCCAATGGCCTTAAAGTACAAAGCTGAGAGTCAAAATGGAAGAAAGTCAGCAAGTTTGGAGGATGAAAATAATTTTTTTAAAATTTCAAAGTAATGGTGGAACATGGGGTAGCCTACGGTGGTGAGAACAAGGACAGATTTCGAGCTGGGTTTGGATAAGTCGGGGGAAAAAGGAGTGTCTACAGCATTATCAGGTTCCTCAAAGAACACCTTGGGCTGAGCAGTGAGTAACTTACTCCACAGTGAACTGTTGTGCCGTGTGAAGGAGATCCACAGGATGAACTCAGGTCTGGTTTATACTGGGGGGAAACACCAAGCCCAAGAGGGGAACACCGATTCCATTAAACCCTGCCCAAGACCCAGCGGCCTTGACCTTGGGGCTGCCCTGGCAGTGGATTCTCTTCCAGTAAGTGTGGGCTTAGCGGGAATGAATGGTGCTTAGAGAAGGGTTGGAGACATCCATTCTTCCCTCAAATAGTTCTGCTCTAAGTTTAGGAGGGGCCGGGGTAGGGGAATTCTTGTGTCTGAAGCGGCGATACTAATAATACGCTTCGGTACTTACAGTTGGGAAAGGCTTTTAGTATCTTATAAACGTGTTAAGTGCTGGATTTTCCTTTCTGTGTGTTTAACACTCGGGTTCAGATACTAATGTCTTCCTGAGGAGCTCAAGCCGGCGGGAGGAAGAACACAAACAGATAATTTCAACAAACGTGGCCGCTCTCCTAAGCTGGGTGTAGTGATAGTTCAAAGGAGGGCAGACAGGCCAAGAACACCTCTTCTAGACGAGAGGGTGAACCACGGAGAGGAACTGCTGAGGACTGTCTGTTTTCACCAAGTCTCACCACATAACTGGACCCGGGACCTGGACCACATGGTGGAAAGCAGAGTTCTTTCTAGGGAAGGGAAATTGTTGCATCCTTGGAAAATGGAGAGCACCCCTGAGAGGAAACTTGGGACAAGTGTATGGTTGAGATGATTGGAAGTTTGCAAGCATCTCTCTTTTCAGCTGTTGGACAAATATCACTAAGAACCTTCTTTAATACCTGGCCCTGCGCTGAATACATGGAAACATTATCTAAACTGTCAAGGGGATCTCAGGTGAGTAGTCAATAATGGCCATATTGCGTGAGAAGTGCTATAATAAAAACATGATGAAAATATGGGGAAGGGGGAATAACATTTAAAATAGGGAATGGCCTTCAGTCATTGCGTCGATAATAAATGCATAATAAGTGTTTGGAAAACTCTGCCTCTACCTTGAAAGCTCTCTCTCTCTCTCTTCCCCCGCCCCCCACAAAGAGGCTCTCCTATTTTTACAAACTGCCCTGGCCTTCTCACCGCCGCAGCCACCCCCCGCCGCTTCTGACTTATCAGCACTCCCCCCGTCGCTTCTGCCTCATCAGCACTCCCCAGTTTCCCGCCGCCTGCCCGGTTTCTGCCTCATCAGCTCTCCCCAGCTTCCCGCCGCCCGGCTTCCCGCCTAGCGGTTCAAACTGGCCAACAGTTGCCCACCACCTAGCCCCCAACTCTTCCTCTCCTCCAGCCCTTCTACCCTTATAAGACACCCTGCCCCTCTGGGCGGCGTGGCCATTTTTCCTTTTCGTCCCAGCTGGCATGCCCGGAGGCTCTTTCCTCTCAATAAAGCCTGAACTTAAGAACTTTCTTCTTGCCTGCGGTCCGGTTTTTTTCTGACCGAGCTCAGTCTTCCCGCAGAGGGTAGGTCGCACAATAAGGACAACTTTACATTCTTAATTCAACACTGAGAAGAAATGGACAAATTTCTCAGAAACTGCAAAATAGCCAACTCAACCAAGATGAAACAGACAATCTGAATAGTCCTATAAACACTGGAAAATTGAATTTGTAATTAAACAACTCCCCACAAAGAAATGGTCAGGCCAAGATGCTTTTACCAAAGAATTCTATTAACATTTAAAGAAGAATGAACACCAATTCACACAATCTCTTCTGGAAAAATATAAGAGGAGGGAACACTTGCCAAGTCATTGTATGAGGCTAATATCACCCTGACACCAAAACCAGGCAAAGTAATATCCCTCTTAAATTTAGATGCAAAAATCATCATCAAAATATTAGCAAATCAAATCCAGCAATGTATAAAAAAATCAAACACCATCACAAAGCAGGATTTATTCCAACTGTGCAAGGTTGGTTCAACATTCCAAAATAAATCAGTGCCGTCCACCATATCAGCAAGCTATAAAGAAAAGCTTGAGGCAGAAAAAGCATTGGCAACATCCAATATCCATTTATGAATAAAACGCTCAGATTGCTTACACAATCCCTTTTCCGCGATTTCTTAATGTGAGCAAACAACTGTTCTGATAAACACAATTAACGCGCGACCCTTGGCTGGCTCAGGTCGTGGGGTACGGTCGCCTTTGCGTTTTTCCTTTGAATCTGCCCCTCTTCTGGGTTTGTTCTCTAGAGGCCGGGGGAAGGACTGGGTCCTCTCTCTTCCGCTCCTCTTGCCTATCAGAAACCTCACACTCCTTCCCTTTCCAGAGAAGCTTCGGTGCTGGACCCGGCAGGGCGCAAGTATGTGGGGCTGAGAGCGGTGCGTCCGCGTTTCCTTCGCTGTGACTGTTCTTCCTGCTCCTGCAGGAAAAGACAATGCCCTTTTTGTCTTGGCCACGTGGGACTCCAAAGGGTCCAGAAAGGCGGCGAATCCTCAGAGTGGGCAGGGGAGGAGATAGAATATGGAAATGGGGCGGTAGAGGGGTGGAATGCCACGAATTTCCTGATTGAAGGCTGTCATGAAGCAGGCCTCTTTGGGAGCAAGGCCCTCCAGTATCTGGCGAGGGTAACATCCCACCAGCATCTGGTGAGGTCCAGTCTTGTCCTCACTGCATTTTGGGCCAAAAGCAGAAGGAAGCCGGCATTGCGGCCTGGCGTCATTGACCGAGAGGTCTGCATATTCCCCCGGGTGGAAGCTCTTGGGCTGCAGGTGTGAAGGAAATGCGGTCACCACTGCAGGAAGAAAAGCAACTAAGGAAAATGGCACCATCTTCTTGAGACACTCGCTCTGTCGTCCAGGCTGGAGTGCAGTGGCACGATCTCGGCTCACTGCGACTTCTGCCTTCTGGGTTCAAGCACTTCTTCTGCCTCAACCTCCTGGGTAGCCAAGTTTTTTTTTGGGGGGGGGGATATATGTATATTAACGTCTTCAAGCAAAAGAGACTCTTTCTGCCTGTTGGCCGTCTTCTGCGACTGAATGTGAAAATCCATCCAGACGCTTTCAGTGAAAACTGCCTTTATCTCTTTGTCCTCTTAGGTTAAAATCCGCACTCCGTAACCCCATGGAACAGGAAAATTACAAAGAGCAAATATAAGACGTTTCAGTACTGCAGAAACTGCCCTTCAAGAAGAATCAGAAGACCGATGCGGGAGAGAGGTGAGAGCGTGAATCCGAGTGGGCTGCCCCATCTTCCAGGGTTTCACACTCGGCCTCGCGAAGGCGTGGCCTGGCCTGAGCTGATGTGCTCATATTTTCAAACAGCCAAGACACTTTGGAGCCCTAGAGGGGTGGAATCCCACGGAATTTCCTGATTGAAGGCTGTCGTACTTTGCTACGGTACCTGCTTAATTTGGAAGTGTGATGAACTGTTACTTAAATTGAGTCGGGTAGACTAAGAGACGGCGGCAGTGAGGGACGCCCTTTGGGAGGAAGAGGTCGAGATGCTGAGGCCCAAGGGCCGGCGAGGAAAGAGCGCGCAGCCCGGGCCCCTCGGCCTGGGGAAGGGAGGGCAGGGATGATCCTACGGTTCCTGGGAGGACGCGAAGAGTGCAGAACGCTGACTGCCAGCCCGGGAAAGTCCCCGACGTGCGGTCCTCATCCCTGGACAGGCGGCGTCCACACTCCTCAGCAGCGCGGGGCGCCCGGGGCTCTGATGCTCCAAACCCAGCAGCGGCTGCTGCAGCTTCTGGGAGGCGGAGAGTGTCTGCCGGGAGGATGCCGCACCCGGGCGCTTAGTTCTGCAACTGGAAACCCCATGGCCTCTTTAAAGCCCGAGTATGGCTCCCCATGGTCTTCGTTTTGGGGATAGGCACAGAACCCTAAGCCTGGCCCTATTGGGAGCCGTAGCCTCCTTGATGGCTGGTGCTTGCTGGGCTTTTTTCAGTCAAATTTCACAGTGCGGCTGGATTTCTTACTTTAGATCCTGTAATAGAAATGGCTGATCTAAGATTTTCATGATTATATTTTGTCCTCTGGGTGCACATGTGGTTTCCGTAGTGTAGTGGTTATCACGTTCGCCTCACACGCGAAAGGTCCCCGGTTCGAAACCGGGCGGAAACATGAGGATTTTGCCCCTAAATTTAGTGAAATTAATCGAGGTTCGGAAACAGAAAACTAGTGTGTACGTTTTAGACCTCATCAATCTAGACAGATGTCGACCAGGCTACAATTGCCACTGGTCTGCTAGATCACAGCAGGCCAGCTTTGGTTCCAGAAATTCCTTAAGGTTCTCTTCATGCTCTTCGATCCCCTGAATTTTCACGCTGACGCTGAAAGTGGATGACATCTCAGCACATTTCCTAAGCGTCCTGCCTGGCTCCGCTTTACTCTGATACAGTTGCAGGTCTGACTGATTTGTGAGAGGACAAAAATGAAATATTTTTTGAAAAGATTCTAAATTTGCATCTGGAACTCCTAGAGTCAATCATGGGAGCCACCTTCTCTGTTCTGATCCGGTCCTCGGGGCTGCAGTCTTGCCACGCCTATACTAAAATGAGGATTGATGGCCTCCAAAAGCCAGGAGATTCACCCATTCCTTTAGTTGCACTCTGGGGAACCATATGTTTTCCAACAGATTTTTTGCTTATTGCAGAGTGCCTTATTCCTTCACTGGGAAGAGACTTACTTTCCCAACTACGGGCCACAGTTCAATTTGGAGCACCTCAAGAGAAGGCCACAGGCTGGGAAGGGACACTTCTCCTAGCTCTATACGCATGTCTTAACACTTCTCAAGTAGACCCTCTGTGTGCAACACGGAAGTTCCTGTAATGTACCAGTTAATGTACCTAGTCCAGGTTATGTTGAAACTCGGTGTTAATTATCTATGGGAAAAACACTATCCTTTTAGGTGTGATGGCTCACGGCTGTAATCCCAGCACTTTGGGAGGCCAAAGTGGGCATATCACTTGAAGCCAAGAGTTAGAGACGAGCCTGGCCAACATGGCGAAACCCTATCTCTACTAAAAACACAAAAATTAGCTGGGTGTGGTGGTACATATCTGTAATCCCAACTACTCAGGAGGCTGAGGCAGGAGAATTGTTTAAACCCGGAAGGCAGAGGTTGCAGTGAGTCTCGCGCCACTGCACTCCAGCCTGGGTGACAGAGATTGTGTCTTAAAAAAATATATATCCTTTTAGACCTGATGCTCAGGGAGGCGTCCATCCCCTAATAATGAAGTGTGGATTATTATAATTTTGTCAGTTCCAGCTGTTAATAAGCCAAACGGTTATTGCATGAGCGCGATGGGGGCAGCGGGAAGCCCGAGAGCCAAGTATTGCACTTAGAAAACAATCCTCGTGGGACAGCGGGCCACCTTGGGGGGATGGGGGGGCTCCACCGCCGGCTCCTCTTGGCCACTGGGCTGCCCCGTCCACTTTACAGCTGGGGAAACTGAGGCACCGAGGTGAAGGGAGCCCCCTCGCACACGAGGCCGCCGCCGGGGGCAGGGCGATGGGGGTGGGCACAGGGCAATGAGGGGGGACGGCCGGGGGCGCAGAGGGGGCTGCCCCACCGGCCCGTCCGTCCGACTACGGCTACCTACGTCTGGCTATGGCATCTGGGCAGGCTGGCGGCCGGGACAGTGCAATGACATGGCTTTGGTCTGGATGACGGCCCCGCCCCCGGCCCTCCTGGGCGCGCGGGGCGGTGGGCAAGGGTGACAACCTGGACGACAGGCGCGAGCGCGTGGTGTCCTGGGGGCGGCGGGGCCGAGCAAGGCCGAGTCCCTGTGGTCCGGGCTGGGTGCGGCGGCCCTGGCGGCGGGCATGGGCACCAGGCGTGGCGTGGAGCTGCTGGCCGGGCGCGCAGAGGCCGCAGGGCCCGGCGCTCGGTGGGGCAGCGAGGGCTGCTAGTCGGACAGTGGGCGCCACGCGCGGCTCAGACGGCGCAGGGAGGGCAGGCCCGGCAGGGGGGCGGCAGGTGAGCCGCCGTAGGGAGGTCCGCGGTGCCCGGGGGCTGGCGGGAGACGGGGCCCCAGGGGTGGACGGCGCACCAGGCGCAGAGAGCCAAGTCTGGAGCTTCGGGGCTGCGCCGCGGAGCGAGCTCTTCACTGCCCGGTTCCCGCTCAGTGGTCGTGTCTCCGCCCCCATCCACCAGGTCCGCTGCGTTCTCAGCCGGGCCCTAGGCGCCAGGGCTCCCCGCGGGAGGAAGCAGAAGGCTGAGGCCACGGTGGTCGCCATGACCGAGAAGCGAGAGAAGCTGGCTAATGGTAGGGAGGGAGTGGAGGAGGCGATTATTGTTATTGAGCATTGCACTAGCTGAGGCCTGGAGGCCCCACAACTTCCAGTTAAGGTGAACCCAGCCAAGCCCCCTCAGGGGCAGCTTCGAGGTGACGCTGCTGCGCCCGGAGGGCAGAAGTGCGGGGCTCTGGACTGGGATTAAGAAGGGGTCCCCGCGCAAACTCAAATTCCCTGAGCCTCAAGAGGTGGTGGAAGAGTTGAAGAAGCACCTCCGTAGTGAGATTTGGGCAGAAGTCCTCATGCTGAGCTCTGTGTCCCTGGTGACGTTGGAACATTAATGATGGAACATGGCCAAACTTCACTCATGCGCCTGAAGCCACGGTTTCTTCCCTGCCGGAAATGAAGGTTCAGTTGTGAGACAACCCTCTAGTAAGGCATTGCTAAAGTTACTGGATTTGGTTTAATAAAAGTTGAAATAAAGTTTAAAAAAAAAAGCATAAGTAGACACTCATTTTTAATGGACTAATCCGAGACACTCATGCTGCATCCTGGCTTACCTGGACTGGCCTGTCCCCAAGGTTTTAGGACAGTCCCCATCTGTTTGGCAATGCATTGGCAAACAGCTAAGGAAACCAGTTAATTAATGGATCTGTCTTACAATATGTGGATGACCTATTAATTTCTAGCCTTACTAGGGAAGGATTCTGATAAAAATACAATTCAAGTCTTTACTTTTGTGACAAAACAAGGGTAACAGGTATCTCCTCAAAGGCCCAAATTTCTGTCCAAAGGGTAACGTCATGTATTTGGGACACATGCTCACTCCTGAGACCAGGATCTTGGCCCAGGGATGAAAAGGGACCATCTGGCACTCCACCCCCCTCAAATTCAGAAGGCTTTTTGAGAACAGCTGGATTCTGCCAGGTTTGGATTCCCAGGTTTGGGCTCAGAGCAAAACCATTCTATGAACCTCCAAGAGGGAGTTGTCACAAGCCTTTGAATCAGGGTGGAACCTGGGCATTCTTAACCTTAAAAGAAAAGCTAGGAACAGCCCCCGCTTTGAGACTCACTAAGTTAGAAAAACCTTTCACCTGCCGTGTGAAAAACAAGGGAGAGCTTTGGATGTTCTGACTGGAAGGCTCAGGAACTACTTCGGACCAGTGGGTTATTTCCCTGAACAGCTAGAGCAGGTGGCAGCTGGGCGGCCAGGAGGCTTGAGACCTGTGGCTACCATCACTCTATTGGTGGAAGAAGCCAGTAAGTTTACCTTAGGACAACAATGAGATGTCATAGCACCCCCACTTAACCCCACGAAGTACAGTACAGAGGGTCCTGGAGCCAAATGTATACCAACGGCTACCAGGGGACCAGCTGCTTAATTATCAGGTCCTTTTGCGTGACTTCCCAGATGCTACCCTTAGAGTATGCTGATTTTTAAACCCTGCTACGCTGTTGCTAGACCTCACGTCTCAAGAAACAGATCCCCAACTCATGGACTTAAGAGAGCTCTAGAAGGCCCGGCCTTAAAGACCAGCCCTTGTCTAACCCCAATGCTGAGTAGTGTAGAGAAGGAAGTAGCATTATTTATGAGGGAATAAGAAAGGTAGGTTAGCCCACAAGAAGTCATTGAGGCCAAGGGTTTACCTTCTCATACTTCTGTTCACAAAGCAGAATTAGCTGCTCTAATTAGGGCATTCCAACTATGGAAAGACTTAAGGTCGGGGCAGTGGCTCACGACTGTAATCCTAGCACTTTGGGTGGCAGGAGGCAGAGGTGGGTGGATCACTGGAGGTCAGGAGTTTGAGACTAGCCTGGCCAACATGGTGAAACCCCGTCTCTACTAAACATACAAAAATTAGCCAAGTGTGGTGGTGGGTGCCTGTAATCCCAGCTATTTGGGAGGCTGTGACATGAGAATCACTTGAACCCAGGAGGCAGAGTTTGCAATGAGCTGAGATTATGCAACTGCATTCCAGCCCGGGTGACAGATACAAAAACAAACAAACGAAACGTAAGAGCCAATGTATTTGCGGACTGTGAATCTGGGTTCCTGGAGCTCCATGCTCGGGCAGCCATAGGGAAGGAAAGGATCCCCCAAACAACTTTACTCAGATCTTGGAACTTTTAGATGCTGTCCAACTCCCAAAGGAAATAATTATTCGCTGCAGGGGACACCAGAGGGAGACACTTTTATTATTAGGGGAAATGGCCTGGTCGAAAGAGCAGCTAAGGCCACAGCTGAGGCAGGTGTTCCAGGCTGCTGCACTACCACCGAGCACTCCATCCATGTCAGCAGTACTGTACCCTTAGGGAAATTAAAGGGACTGAGCGCAAGGCTTCCAGCGAGACCCCAGATGGTTGCTAGAAAACAAACTCTATTCCTTGCAAAGGCATAAGAATGATTAAAAAAGAAAAAGAAAATAAACTCTATTCCTGAGGCTGAGAAATGGGAAATAATTAGACATTTTCATGATTTCTCACATTTGGGATTAGGATTCTCCATTCACACTAGTTTCTCAAATATTCTTGGAGAAGGGATTGTTCCAGACTATAAAAAGGGTTACAACTTGGGAAGTCGCCCCATACCCTGATCCCCGCCTAAACCTGTACAGCACCAAGGAACACACATGGGGAGACGGGAAGACAGATTTAACCCGGATGCCGCCTTGCAGGGGACCACAGTATTTGCTAGTATTTTCAGATGCTTTCACCAGGTGGATAGAAGCTTTCCCCACAAGGACAGAGAAAGCACTGGAAGTGTCCAAATTCTTTTTTTTAATCGAATGCCTTTATTTTTGCTCCCTTCAGCAGCATGTGGGAAGTGGCAGTGACCTCGGCAGCAGGCCTGGTATCTTTGCCCTGTTGAGAAGCCACGATCTCAGCTGTACTAGTCAGGTATTTTTTCAGACAGCAAGTAGAAGTGGTGGCCAACTCCAGTGTTGTATCCTGGAGGAGGTCTGGGTCGGCACTGGGCAAGGTAGGTAGCTAGCCCTGACCCTTAGTCTGGGGCTGGAACTTCTGTTTGCCTGAGTAAAGGGATGTCAGTCCTAAGATTTCTCCACATTGTGTCTTGCTTCTGCAGTGGCGAAAAGGCTGGTCCTTGAATTGTCCTGCATGGTACCCTAAGGCCGGCCCACTGGCTCTTTTTGATCAAGGATTCCAAGAAAAGCTGTCCTTGGAGGCCCTTGAAATAACATAGGAAGCAGCATGAGTGCTCGAGCTGTGGCTGACACAATCCAGCTCACACTGCCATCACAGAGGCTGAGTGAGCAGTCACCGAGGGAGGGGGCTCCAGCTCATTCCATTCCCATGGGGCAGGTGACTAGAAGGTAAGAGCGCCTGAGTAAGCCAATGCCTTCCTGTATCCACACCCAGGAATACCTTCCAGTTGTCCAAGCAGCCATAGTTGTAAGGGTTCCTATATTCTCTGCCTTTGGCCTGTAGCCGACGTCTCTCCTTCTTGTTGATGTGCCTTTCAACCTCGACTGATGAGAATAGCATGCCATACAGTTAGGGCACCCAGGGCAAGCACATGGCATGAGAACAGCATGCCATACAGTTAGGGCACCCGGGGGAAGCACATGGCATGAGAACAGCATGCCATACAGTTAGGGCACCCGGGGGAAGCACATGGCATGAGAACAGCATGCCATACAGTTAGGGCACCCGGGGGAAGCACATGGCATGAGAACAGCATGCCATACAGTTAGGGCACCCGGGGGAAGCACATGGCATGAGAACAGCATGCCATACAGTTAGGGGACCCAGGGCAAGCGCCACAGAACTGCACAGGAACCAGAGGTAGACAAGACTCCTATGAGTCAACCTTTCTCGAAAGGAGAAGGTGCACGGTGGGGCCTCGTGGGAAGTCTGGTTGGCAACCGCCTGTAGTTTGTTCTTGTCGAGCTGCTTCATTTTCTCGATGGCAGCATAAGCCTCCTGGAAAAGGCCCCAGCTTCCATAGCTGCAGAGAGTCATGAAGAAGCAGAAAGAGAAGTACCGATGGTTATAGGGGCCCACACAATTCTTTAGCCGGGGGCAGTGATGATCCATCTTCAGCACACACCTGTTGCAGATGCTGCAGTGGTGCGTTCTGGCTGGCTTGGGGTAAATGTATTTCTTACAAATGGAGACCATGGCAATATCACTCCTGCCCTGGGGTGGGTATCCAGGCAGAGCGGTGATGGCCTGGTAGTAGTGTAAGACAATGAGGATCAGATTCCAGTGGCAGAGAAGAAATGCCAGCAGAGTCGTGGCACTGAATAGGTTCGGAGGAGGAGAGGCAGGACACACAGGTAGGCGACAGCCACAATGGAGCCTGTCAGCACAATCACCAGCACCACGAACACCACGCCGAACCAGCGGATCACGTTGTCTACCAGCCAGTAGACAGGCTCAAAGGCAGCATCGACAGCGGTGTCACTGCCCCCAAAGGAGAGGTGGAGCAGGGAGCTCAGGCAGACCTTGCCATAGCGCCAGCGCTGTGCTAGACCCTGGAGCAGAGGTGGACAGCGGCGCCTGTAGCCCAGCAGCAGAAGCAGGTGGAGGCAGAGGCGGGCCGGGCCCAGCAGCAGGCTCCGCTGGCCTCGCATGGTTCTGCGGAACTCTGCCTGGGTTTGTCCAATGAGAAGTCGACTTCGTTTCCACTTGGGTTTTGGGACAGCGGCAATCACGGCCGTCAGATACCACATTCCCAGTAAGTGAGCGCTTCCCATACAGAGTCCTGGATAGAGGTCGAAGCTGGAAGGCTGGACGGCCTAGAGCTTCTGGGGGCAGTGACTGATAGAGCATTTTTTCTGCAGGCGAATGTCTGTCTAACTGGGAGGAGGGCAGCCTGGGCAGTGGCACCTACACCCGCCACGGTTACATCTTTTCATCGCTTGCCGGCTGCCTGAAGAGCAGCGAGAATGGCGCGGTAAAGGGAGCGGCTTGTCATCTCCTCTCTCTGTTTTCTCTTAGCCCGGGAAAGAGGAAATAAAAGCGGCGACCCCTAAAATTACTCTGGTTTACCGCCTGAGAGTTTGAACTGCAGAGCGGCGGGGAGGACCCAGGAAGAGCCAGTAGTAAGTTTGAAGAAGTCAGGATGGCGACACCACAGGACAGACTAGAGAGTAGATTGCTGCACAGAGGGAATGTCTTGGGTACCTGTCTTCAGTCTGCAGCTAAGTGCTGTTTAGTACATGTATTTGAGGAGACGATGCAGAGCAGGGAAAAGAACTTCTCAAAAGGAATCATCCTTGTAGCTCACACAGAGCTTGCAAAACTTGGTGTTTCCATCAGCTAAAGTGAAAACTCTTTTATTTTTATTTCTTATTTTTTTTGAATCTTTTATAGCTTTTATTTCAGTGATCAAAAGAATGCAGTAAATGAAATCTACACTGATTAACATCAGGCATCCACCTCTACCTGAAACTGCTATGAGATTCTGATTGGCCTAATTTTTTTTTTTTTTCCCAGAGAGAAGCTTTATTCCTCAGGGCCCTCCTCAGGACCGGGGCAGTAGGAAGGAAGGCTCAGCCCTCAAACTTTTTCTTGTGGCCTTCCATTCCACTCAGTGCATTGATGTTCTTGCGCCAGTCTCCCACCTCCCGGATTTCCTTCTCGGTGTCCTCCTTCTTCACCTACTTGAGGTGGGCACGCAGGTCCAGGGACTCCTTAGCCTGGGTCCCCAGCAGCGCCTGCATCATGGCATCCGCAGAGATTCTCACTCTCCTGCAGGGTGGGCCGCTTAAACTTGCCACGAAGGTCGAAGATCTTCTGGGTCAGATCTGCAATCTCTGTGATGTTCTTGGTATCTCTTGCCTCTAGGTCATATCTCTCTTCATCCACTTTGTCCACACGGGTGTGGAGCTGTCGGCACAAGTCCTGCAGCTCCGCGAAGGCTAGACCGGCCAACTGCAGCGGCTGGCAGCGGGTGCTCAGGGCGCGCCCTTCTCTCCGCGCTCGCTCCAGCTCCTGCTTTGCAATCTGCAGCATCAGGGTCTTCAGCTGCAGTTTTCTCGAGGCGGACGGACATCTTAGACTTTTTCTTGGCGTGAGGCTCCGTGGCGTACGCGCGCGGTAGTTGGAGGAGCGGCGTCTGACCGGGGCTGGTGCGGAGCGAGGTTCCCCAGCCGCATGGCTGCTCTCCTCCCCCATACTGAGTGAGACTCAGACCCGGAATGGCAGGAGGCAGGAAGAGGACAGGGGCTTTTGGAGGGTCGGTGAGGGGGCGGCCCAGGTGACCTTCAAGGTCCCAGGGACCGTGAGTCTCGTCCAGGCTGCTCGAGCCTCCCCAGGACACTAAATCTTTATCACTTATTCAGGCACATCATTGAAGTGTTTTGTACCCTGATATACGGGCAAGTTAAGTTCTTCCTTGGGGCAGTCTAGTAATAAGAATTATGTTCACTGGCTAGATTCCTTTATAAACTGAAGGCCTCTAGACTCTCACCTACCTTGAGACTATACTTAATATGGATATTTAAGTAAATCACCATAGCGGAAAGGGAGATCATCAAGAAAACTTAAGTGTACTGTATAAATACCCTTACAGATCTTTTTCTCCAGCATTGATAATCAAGCACAAGATAAGGATGCCAAATTATTCTTCCCCCACTTCTGCCCTTTCTGATAGACAAGGCTCTCCCCTGAAATCAGAAATGATTCCACACAAAAGAGAAATTTTTACATGTGGTTCCACTATCAAAATTTTAGGAAGCAGTGAATGGGGCTTGGAGAAAAGCATAGTTCCACATACAGTAATATGCGTCTAATAGAGTTTTCTATTCGTTTGTCAATTATTTTCACAAGATTAGCATTAAAAATACAAGCAAACATAGGACCCTCGAGCTCTACAGACAAAAAATTTGTCTTTGTTCCTTCTCAGATGACAGGATGTCCCAAGCATAACAAAAGATGGCAGCCAGTTTTCAATTCCCATCAAAAGAGGTAATGCTGCGATCAGTCAGAAAGGCTTTCTGAGAAGGCTGGCTTGGATTTCTGGGTCTGTTCCAGTCGATTCACGATGAACCGGCTTGTATCAATGAAGCTCTCAAGGCAGTTCAAAAAACAGGCCTCAGCCCGACTGTCCAACTTTGTCCCAACAAAGTTCAGTCATCTGGTGCACCAAGTGCTGGAAGCGCTGCTTTTGAGTTTACTTCGATGAAATGCTGCACCTGCGGGTCCACTGCACCCAAACCCACCACGGAGGAAGAGGAGGAGGAATCCATCCCAGGGTGCCCACACTTGCAGAGACGAACTCTGTACCAACTACGAAACCCCACCCACCCCCGCCACTTTTTTTTTTTTTGAGACGGAGTTTTGCTCTTGTTGCCCAGGCTGGAGTGCAATGGCATGATCTTGGCTCACTGCAACCTCCGCCTCCTGGGTTCAGGCAATTCTCCTGCCTCAGCCTCCCGAGTACGCGCCACCATGCCCAGCTAATTTTTTTGTATTTTTAGTAGAGACGGGGTTTCACCTTGTTGACCGGGATGGTCTCGATCTCTTGACCTCGTGATCCACCCACTTCGGCCTCCCAAAGTTCTGGGATTACAGGCTTGAGCCACCGCACCTGGCAAAAAAACCCTTTTAATAAAGGGAGCATTGGTTAGAACAGGGGTCCACAACCTCCAGCGCTGGTCCGTGGCCTGTTAGGAATGGGGCCACACAGCAGAAGGTGACCAGCAGCGAGAAAGCATTACCGCCTGAGCTCTGCCTCCTGTCAGATCAGTGACGGCATTAGATTCTCATTGGAGCACAAACCCTATTGTGACCTGTACATGCGAGAGATCTAGGTTGCACGAGAGATCTAGGTCGCACGCTCCTTATGAGACTCTAGCAAATGCCTGATGATCGGACGTGAAACAGTTTCATAGTGAAACCATCAGCTCCACACCTACCACCCCACCCCCACCCCATCTGGAAAAATTGTCTTCCATGCAACCAGTTTCTGGTGCCAAAACTGTTGGGGACCAACTGGCTTAGAATATGCAAAAGAATATTGCCCCCAATGTAAAGTATGGACTTTGGGTGATAACAGCATGTCAGTGTAAGTCCATCAATTGTAATAAATGTGCCATTCTGGAGAGAGACTGCGATAGTCTAGGAGCCTATGCATGTGTAGAGGCCAGGAGTACATGGGAACTTTTTCTGTGAATCTAAAACTACTCTAAAAAATAAGGTCTATTTTTTAAAAAGGCATATTGCCTCCACAGTGGGGAAAAAGCCATTGATTAATAGCTGCTTTTATCCTGCCTACAATAATTAAAAATTCAGCTTGAAAAGAAGCAAATTGTTTTTTAGGTAACTTTATTGTATACCAAACAAAGCTAAACGAACTTTAACACAAATGCAAAAAGTCCAGCACTCAATAAGTTACAAATTGGCAATGTCTAACACCAAATCAAATACAGAGAGACAGAAAAAAAACTAAGATCCATGATGAGAGGGGGAAAAAATCAATCCACTTTAACTGCCTTAGAAAGGATATATCAGCCAGGTGCAGTGGCTCATGCCTATAATCCCAGCACTTTGGGAGGCCGAGGTGGGTGGATCATGAGGTCAAGAGATCAAGACCATTCTGGTCAACAAGGTGAAACCCCGTCTCTACTAAAAATATTTTTTAAAAAAATTAGCTGGGCATTGTGGTGCACACCTGTAGTCCCAGCTACTCAGGAGGCTGAGGCAGGAGAATTGCTTGAACCCAGAACATGGAGATTGCGGTGAGCCAAGATCGTGCCATTGCACTCCAGCCTGGGTAACAACAGTGAAACTCCGTCTCAAAAAAAAAAAAAAAAAAAGAAAGGATGCATCAGATGAGAATTAAACACAATACGAAGGACACAGATGACAGAGTTTGTAGACAAGGACATTGAAACAAATGTAACTATATTCTAGGCTGGGTGCAGTGGTTCATGCCTGTAATCCCAGCAGTTTGGGAGGCCAAGGTGGGTGGGCCACCTGAGGTCAGGAGTTCAAGACCAGCCAGGCCAATGTGGTGAAACCCCACCCCTATGGAAAATATGAAAAGAGCGAGGTGTGGCAGCACATGGCTGTAAACCCAGCTGTTCAGGAGGCTGAGGCACAAGAGTTGCTTGAACCCAGGATGTGAAGGTTGCAGTGAGCTGAAATGTCACCACTGCACTCCAGCTTGGGCAACAGAATGACACTGTGTCTCAGAACATAGAATCAAATCAAATGAAGAAGATAGAGGGAAATATGAAATGATGAGAAGTTATATAAGAGACAGTTTATAAAAAGACCTAAATTAAAGTTAGATGAAAAGTAAAGCCTGAGATGGAAACACACCGGCTGGGATTAACAGCAGATTAGATGCTGCTAAAGAAGATTAAGCAATTCCAAGGCAAAAAGATACAACAGAAATGGACAGACCATTAGTGAGCTGTGGTCAAATTTCAAAGCAGCGAACACAAATATAACGGGAGTCTTTGAAGGAAGGTTATAGATAAAAATAAAACATATATACATTTGATATACATATGCCATATATATGATATATTATACATCCCATATATAATGTGTGTCATCATTATTCAAATTTGCTGAGAACTATAAACATGCAGATGCAAGAAACTAAATGAAGTAAAGCGATGTAAAAGATAAAACTATACAATGTCTTATCATAATCAGATTACTTAAAACCAGTGATAAATAGAAAAGTTCAAAAGCAGCCAAAGGAAAAAATGTATTATGTACAGAGGAACAAAAGGAAGAAATATGGCAGACTTCTTGTTGGAAAAAATGTAAGCCAGAAGCCAGTGCAATAGCACTTTTAAAACACTTTTATAAACAAAAATGAAACTGTCAACTAGAATCCTATATCAGGTGAGTTCTTATGCTCATCAAGATGAAGTCATCCACTATACTCTATGTCTCTTACTGATTGAAACTAAGAACTCTCAGGCCAGGCACAGTGGCTTGCACCTGTCATCTCATAACTGAAGGTGACTCACTTGAGCTCAGTAGTTCAAGACCAGCCTGTGTAACATGGCAAAACCCTGTCTCTACAAAAAATATAAAAATTAGCCAGGGATGGTGGCACATGCCTGTAGTCCCAGCCACTTGAGAGGCTGAGGTGGGAGGATTGCTTAAGCCCAGGAGGCAGAGATTGCAGAGCCAAGATTGTGTCCCTTCACTCCAGCTTGGGTAAGAGAGCAAGATTCTGTCTCAAAATAAACAACAAGACTAAGAACCCTTGAAAGAATATTAAAAGTGACTACCTGAGTGCTCTAAAGAGAAAACAATAGAAGGCAGATTCAGGACCATAGTCCAAACTAAAATGAAATCTACAATGCAGATAACGTTTTGGGGGACTTGGGAGGAGCTAAGGGTATTCAGAGCCTGTAGCCAGCTTACCTGTTGCGAGGTTTCTGGCAAGGATCTCTGTCAGCTGGCTTCCTTCTACCATTTGCTCACAGAGTCTCTGTCTCTGGTTGTAGGTAATGCCAGTGTTCCTGAGGAGGCCCTCAAAAGACTTGACTGTGTTCTTCACACGCTGGGTGAAAAGGCAGCAGACACCTCTCCCTCCCTGTATCTTCTGCCATAAGTGGGTCACTTCTGCCTGAGCCTGGATGAAGGGATCATGTATTCTAATGGGAAAGAAGAGTAAAATGTAGGAGGGAATGTGGTGAATAATAGGTTACAGGAGTTTCAGAGGAGAGATCTCTTAGAATCCCCATAAGGAACTCCCCAAGTTGAATTCCCTTTTCTTTCTTTTTTTTTTTTTGAGACAGAGTCTCACTCTGTCACCCAGGCTGGAGTGCAGTGACACGATCTTGGCTCACTGCAATGTCCACCTCCAAACAATTCTCTTGCCTCAGCCTTCCAAGTAGCTGGGACTACAGGTGCCCACCACCATGCCAGGCTACTTTTTATATTTTTAGTAGAGATGGGGTTTTGCCATGTTGGCCAGGCTAGTCTCAAACTCCTGACTTCAAATGATATGTGCACCTCAGCCTCCCAAGTTGTTGGGATTAAAGGCATGAACCAATGAACCATCACACGTGGCCCAAGATGAATTCTTCTACACATTGTTTGACTTGCCTGTGGCAGAGGAAATGAAGAAACAGCCTCAGGGTTGTCTGTTTTTTTTTTTTACTAACTCTAAAAAGATGCCCCTTTGGTTCACTGCTTTGGCCCAAGTACATTTTCATACGAATTTCATCAAGCATTATGCAGTAAATGGAAATTTTAAAAAGCCAGGTTCAAAAGTGTCAGGCAGGTATCTCTGGTATGAATTGAAAGTTAAAAAACAAAATCAGTGAAAAGATCAAGAATAGTATTCTTTCGAACGACAAATAAGCCATAACCAGTAGGAAGGCAATTTAAACTAAAGTTCTAGCCAGGCACGCTGGCTCATGCCTGTAATTCCAGCACTTTGGGAGGTTGAGGAGGGTGAATCACCTGAGATTGGGACTTCGAGACCAGCCTTGCAAACATGGTGAAACCCCATCTGTACTAAAAATACAAAAATTAGCCAGTGCGGTGGCATGCACCTGTATTCTCAGCTACTTAGGAGGCTGAGGTGGGAGGATTGCTTGAACCTGAGGTGGGAGGTGGAGGTTGCAGTGAGCTGAGATGACGTCGCTGCACTCTAGCCTGGGCAATAAACTCTATCTCCAAACAAAGAAAAAAGTGAAGTTCTGAGTAGTAATTTCACTACTCTATGTGAGATTTCATTGTTTTCTAATTATTGTATAAATATTTCTCATGGTGATATGGTTTGGCTCTGTGTCCCCACCCAAATCTCATGTTGGATTGTAACCCCCAATGTTGGGGAGGCACTTGGACTGGATCCTGGGGGCAGATTTCCCCCTTGCTGTTCTCGTGAGGGTGAGTTCTCACGACATCTGCTTGTTTGAAAGGGGAGCACCTCCCTCCTTGCTCTGTCTCTCTCTCCTGTTCTGGCCATGTGAAGACCATGCCTGCTTCCACTTCAACTTCCACAATGATGGTAAGTTTCCTGAGGCCTGCCCAGAAGCAGAGCCTGTACAGCCCACAGAACCATGAGCTGATTAAACCTCTTTCCTTTATAAATCAGTCTCAGTCTCACATATCAGTCTCAGATATGTGTTTATAGCAGTGTGAGAATGGACTAATACACATGGGTTTCAATGTAGAGTGTGAGCTCTGTGAATCTAAAGACAGCGCCACCTATTACCCAACATACAGCACCCAGTAGCATGTACACACACACACACACACACACACACACACGTGGTTACTCAGTTAATGTGTGGAACCGTGTAATCCCAGAGCTGGAGTGAACATTATCTAGTGCCTGAGTGTCCCCCCTGCTGTGCTGTTCTTCTAAGTAGTTATCTACAGGTCACCTTTCAAACTCTAGTCCTTAGAGTTTCTAGAAAGTGTCAGGGGAAGTTAAGACATACACTGAGGAGAAACGGGTTCCAGTGTTACCCCCGCTTCAATCAGATATCTCTGCTTAGGTGAGTTTTACACATTTGAGTGTCTATGATTTCATTTCAACAAAGGATTGGAAGTTTTGAATACTACACTCTGCCTTATGTCTGAAACCCTCTAAGGATAGGCAATGCTGGTCCCGAGCAAATTAATAATTCATTTTCCATGCAACAGCTGCTCAATCATCTATCCAAAAGCCTTACCAGTTAATACTCCACCTAGGATGATGCTTTTTAAAACAAGCTTGGAGAAGAAATACTCCATCATCAAGGGCACTTCAGAAAATCATCTCTATGGAAAATTTTAGTCCATTAATGATAATCACCACACCTATAAATGGGAACAAATTCCTAACAAAATTGTTGTTCAGGATTTTATATGCATTAGAGATGGTTCTAACTGCTTGTAATTGTGCTTGTAATCTTCATAGCCCTCTAAGGTAGATTCTGTCAGTATTTTCATTTTATAAATGAGGTAGCCCAGGTAAATGACATGCAGAAGTAAATTTGACCAAGGACACACAGACAGAAGCCACATTGCCAGTATTCCAACGCAGGCAGCTGTCTCCATACGCCATAGCCTCCTGGGGCCTTAGTCTATTTCTGTGTCTGCTTGTACATTTCTACCTTTCTCCTTGCACAGATTTGCTCTTTCTTCACCAGCCTGGGCTGCCCCACTTCAGACGGTATTGATTCTCTTCCCACAGAGGTACCTCCTTACCGGAGCCTTGCAGCTGGTCTCGGCAACTCAGCCAGTTCCCGCTCCTCAAACTCCAGCTCCTCCTCCAGCACAGACTCTGTAAGATCTTTGTCCTCTTCACACTCTGAGAAATGACAGGTGCGAGTGGGAGGCTGGACCTGCTGCTGCGGGGTCACTGCCTGCAGCGCAGGAGACAGGGTCTATCTCAAGGATAAAGTGTCCCCAGTACCAGGCTTCACACTGGGATTTCCATATCTTTATTCCCCAATCTCTCAACTACTCCCCATTTTAGAGCTGAGGAAAGAAAAGCCCACAGGCAGATAAAGTAACCTAACAAGACGATTCAGCTGGAACGAGGTGAAGTCAGAATTCACATCCCCTGAGGTCTGACTCCAAATCTATTTGTTTGTTTTTTTGAGCCGGACTCTCACTTCGTTGCCCAGGCTGGAGTGCAGCGGCACGATCTCGGCTCATCGCAACCTCTGTCTCCCAGTTTCAAGCAATTCTCCTGCCTCAGCATCCCGAGGAGCTGAGATTACAGGTGTGCACCACCACACCCAGCTAATTTCTGTATTTTTAGTAGAGACAGGTTTCACCATGTTGGCCAGGCTGGTCTCAAACTGCTGACCCCTTGGCCTCCCAAAGTGCTGGGATTACAGGCATGAGCCACCATGCCCAGCCATGACTTCAATCTTAAGCCAGTGTACCAAGCCGTACAGCCTCTTAAGTAAAACATGAACGTGAGGGCATGAAATAATGACTTCCTGTGTGTTTGAAAAGATACTGAGAACCGTAGGACTGATGGTTGTCCTGAGTCAAGAGTCTCAATAATCCCAAAATATTTCAAAGATTTAAACATCCATCTGGATACAACTGTGTAAAACTGCATATGGAGGAGGAAGATTCAAATGACAGATGCCCAAATGCTAACAGGTGGTGTTTTAAAGGGAGAACCAACACAGCCTTTGTCATGGTACTGCCGCAGTAGGTTTTAAGAATTATCATCAGGTGACCATCACCACCTTCCAAAGAGGTTGTTACCAATCTATTTCCAGCACAGACGAGAATACTGAGGCAGAGTGATGACCTGTTAGATTTGAACCCCGGAAATTTGGCTCTCTTTAATCATTGCACAGTAATACCTTTATACTAAGGTCTTAGGTAACGTTTTTCTTTTTCTCTAGCTTGAGAAAATTTTGTCCTACAATGATAACGATAATGATAATGAATGAAATTTTTAAAAATGAGTTTTTCCACACACCAAAGCTCATCCTTTCACTTCTTTAACAAGTGGGCTTTTGGCTTCACTCTCCCATGACAGTAAGTCGGACAGCAACTTTAACCACCCCCCGCAATGATTTATTTTAGAGTAACTGTAGAAATTGGAAAGCAAACTGAATTCCAATGTTAACCAGAGTCCTCCAAATCCCTGTTCCTCTCCTGCCCTTGTTCCCACATTTCCTTGTCATTACAGCTTCTCCCTTACCCCATATCAGTAACGAGTTCGGGATTTTACAGGGGATTTACCAATGTCAGAGCTGACTGTGGAGGGGAAAGGAAAGCCCCTGCCCTGGCCTGGTCTTCTCCTGGGAACAGCGGTCTGCTGCCCTTGTGCTCACTATGGCCGTGTGTCTCAGGGCTCTGACCCTGGAGGTCCACCTGCAGTTGCTTGCTGTCTGCAAAGCTGATACTCGGGGAGAGACAGAAGGGCTGTTACAAAGTCTGTGATCTGGAAATACGTCAATGTAAGCAGAGCATGGGGAAGGGCTCATTTGAACTCACAGGGGAAGAGAGTCTTGGTCCAGGCGCCAGGACTTTTCTCCATGTCCGCTATGGAAGTCCACATCTCCACGTACCTGTGACTCACCGAGAACAGGCGGTTTGAAGTTCCTTCAAGGCAGATGGGGTACACTATTACTTCTCTCACCCTGGTGCTGCTGGCAGAGTGCTTTGTCAATGGGTGCTCTCAAAAAGTTTAAATTGGAGGGGACTCAAGATGGCGCTGTGAGAACAACCCAGGATTGGAGCCCGCATTGAATTCGCAAACGGTGAGTCAGTGCTGCATTTCCAGTATAAAAAGACATGGGACGCCAGGCAGTAGGTCTGCCTGGCGAAGCCCGCAGCTGGGGCGGCGGCGGCCGGCCCTACCCAGCAATCCCCACAGGGCGCGCTTGTCCGGGTGCCTTGTTGAACCGGCAACCTGAGACTTGAGAGGGCTGGACTTGAGACTGAACGAGACTTGCACAGTAGCCCAGCCCAGGGGATTGCAGGGACAGATCGTTTGGGATACCCAGTGGGACGAACAAAACCGCGATTTCAAACTATCCCGGGCAGACGGTCCGAGACGCTCTGTGGGGGAGGGGCGTCCACCACTATGGAGGCAACCTGCCCCAACTGATATACACGCCCACTGCTGAGGCAGCCAGCCGTTGCCGAGGCAACCCGCCCCAACTGAGATACACGCCCACTGCTGACGCAGCCAGCCGTTGCCGAGGCAACCCGTCCCTACTGAGATACGCCCACTGCTGACGCAGCCTGCCGTTGCTGAGGCAACACGCTACAACGAAGAGCTCCGCCGCAGGGCGTGGCGGAGACCACAGCAGAGCCGGCAGGAACAGCGCGAATCACACAACAGCTGGGCGGAGCCTCGGCAGCCAATCAGTGGCTAGTCTGCCTTTGAGCTGGGCAGGACACCTGATCGGGCATCCAAAAATAAAGCCCAAACCCCTCAACACAGAGCATTTGAGAAAAAAAAAAGGGTTGTTTAATGAGCTGTGTTGCAGCAGAATCAAACAGCAGCCTAACAGCCCTGAATGAACAACAGAGTGCACAGCTCAGCAATTAAACCCCTATAAAGTACAAACTGTCTCCTCAAGCAGCTCCCTGACCCCTCTATATCCAAAAGACTGTCATTAGGCAGGCATCATCCTGGGACAAAGAGAGCAGAAAAAGAAACTGGTAGCATCCCTCGCTGTGCCACGGCTACTAGAGGTGCACCCCAGACAAGCAGGGTCTGGAGCGGACCTCAACAGTCATACAGCGAAGGGGCTAGACTGGTAGAAGGAAAAAGCAACAGAAATACTTCATCATCAACATTCTGGGTGTCCACTCAGAGACCCAAACGAAAAGTCAGCAACTACGCAGACGACCAGCGGACAAATCCACAAAGATGGGAAGAAACCAGCGCAAAAAGGAGGAAAACACCCGAAACCAGAACACATCGCCTCCTAGAAAGGACCAAGACTCCTCACCAGCAAGGGAACAAAGCTGGACGGAGAATGACTGTGACGAAATGACGGAATTAGACTTCAGAAGATGGATAATGAGAAACTTTTGTGAGCTAAAAGATCATGTATTAAATCAATGCAAAGAAACTAAGAACCTTGAAAAAAGATTTGAAAAAAGATTCGAGGAAATGATAACAAGAATGGATACCTTAGAGAGGAATATGAATGAATTAAAGGAGCTGAAAAACACAATACGAGAACTTCGCAAAGCAAACGCAAGTTTCAATAGCCGAATTGACCAAGCAGAAGAAAGAATATCTGATGAAATAAAACGAGAAACCAAGATCAGAGAAAAAAGCGCAAAAAGGAATGAACAAAGTCTCCAAGAAATGTGGGACTATGTGAAAAGACCTAACCTACGTTTGATAGGTGTACCAGAAGGGGACGAAGAGAATGAATCCAAGCTGGAAAATACTCTTCAGGACATCATCCAGGAAAATTTCCCCCACCTAGCAAGACAAGCCAACACTCAATTGCAGGAAATACAGAGAACACCACAAAGATATTCCGCAAGAAGAGCAACCCCAAGGCACATAATCGTCAGATTCAACAGGGTTGAAATAAAGGAGAGAATACTAAGGGCAGCCAGAGAGAAAGGTCGGGTCACCCACAAAGGGAAGCCCATCAGACTCACAGCAGATCTCTCGGCAGAAACACTACAAGCCAGAAGAGAGTGGGGGCCAATATTCAACATTCTTAAAGAAAAGAACTTTCAACCCAGAATTTCATATCCAGCCAAGAATAAAATCCTTTGCGAACAAGCAAGTACTCAGAGATTTTGTCACCACCAGGCCTGCTTTACAAGAGCTCCTAAAAGAGGCACTACACATAGAAAGGATCAATCAGTACCAGCCATTCCAAAATCACACTGAATGCTAAAGAGCTTCAACATAATGAAGAATCTACAACAACTAACAGGCAAAACAGCCACTTAGAATCAAAATGGCAGTATCAAATTCACACATAACAATATTAACCCTAAATGTAAATGGACTAAATGCACCAATCAAAAGACACAGACTGGCAAATTGGATAAAAATCCAAAACCCATCAGTGTGCTGTATCCAGGAAACCCATCTCACATGCAAGGATACACAAAGGCTCAAAATAAAGGGATGGAGGAAGATTTACCAAGCTAATGGAAAGCAAAAAAAAGCAGGAGTTGCAATTCTCATCTCTGATAAAATAGACTTTAAAGCAACAAAGATCAAAAGAGACAAAGATAAAAGGATCGATACAACAAGAAGAGCTAACGATCCTAAACATATATGGACCCAACACAGGAGCACCCAGATATATAAGGCAAGTTCTTAATGACTTACAGAAGGACTTAGACTCCCACACAATAATAGTGGGAGACTTTAACACTCCACTGTCAATACTAGACAGATCAACCAGACAGAAAATCAACAAAAATACCCAGGGCTTGAACTCAGACCTGGAGCAAGCAAACCTGGTGGACATTTACAGAACTCTCCACCCCAAATCCACAGAATACACATTCTTCTCAGCACCACATCACACCTACTCTAAAATTGACCACATAATTGGAAGTAAAGCACTGCTCAACAAATGCAAAACAACTGAAATCATAACAAACAGCCTCTCAGACCATAGTGCAATCAAGTTAGAACTCAGAATTCAGAAACCGACCCAGAACCGCACAGCTTCATGGAAACTGAACAACTGGCTCTTGAATGTTGACTGGGTAAACAACGAAATGAAGGCAAGGCAGAAATAAAGAAGTTCTTCGAAACCAATGAGAATGAAGACACAACATGCCAGAACCTCTGGGACACATTTAAAGCAGTCTCTAGAGGAAAGTATATAGCAATAAGTGCCCATATGAGGAGAATGGAGAGATCCAAAATTGACACCCTATCGTCAAAATTGAAAGAGCTAGAGGAGCAAGATCAAAAAAACTCAAAACCCAGCAGAAGACAAGAAATTACTAAGATCAGAGCTGAGCTGAAGGAGATTGAGACACGAAAAACCCTTCAAAAAATCAATAAATCCAAGACCTGGTTTTTTGAAAAGATCAACAAAATAGACAGACCACTAGCCAGATTGATTAAAAATAAAAGAGAGAACAACCAAATAGATGCAATAAAAAATGATAAAGGGGAAATCACCACAGATTCCACAGAAATTCAAACCATCATCAGAGAATGTTACAAACAACTCTATGCACATAAACTAGTAAACCTGGAAGAAATGGGACTCCTGTGTCCTCCCAAGCCTAAACCAGGAGGAAGCTGAAACTATGAATAGACCAATAACAAGGTCTGAAGTTGAGGCAGCAATTAAGAGCCTACCTCACAAAAAAGCCCAGGTCCAGATGGGTTCACAGCCGAATTCTACCAGACACACAAGGAGGAGCTGGTACCATTCCTTCTAAAACTATTTCAAACAATCCAAAAAGAGGGAATCCTTCCCAAATCATTTTATGAGACCAACATCATCCTGATACCAAAACCCGGCAGAGACCCAACGAGAAAAGAAAACTTCAGGCCAATATCCATGATGAACATAGATGCAAAAATCTTCAATAAAATATTGGCAAGCCGATTGCAACAGCAAATCAAAAAACTTATTCATCATGATCAAGTAGGATTCATCCCAGGGATGCAAGGCTGGTTCAACATACGCAAGTCTATCAACGTAATTCACCAGCAGAGAAGGCATTTGACAAAATTCAACAGCCCTTTATGCTAAAAACCCTCAATAAACTCGGTATCGATGGAACGTATCTCAAAGTAATAAAAGCTATTTATGACAAACCAACAGCCAATATCATACTGAATGGGCAAAAACTGGAAGCATTCCCTTTGAAATCTGGTACTAGACAAGGATGCCCTCTCTCACCACTCCTATTCAATATAGTACTGGAAGTTCTAGCCAGAGCAATCAGGCAAGAAAAAGAAATAAAGGGTATTCAAATAGGAAAGGTGGAAGCCAAATTGTCTCTATTTGCAGACGACATGATAGTATACCTAGAAGACCCCATCGCCTCAGCCCAAAAACTCCTGAAACTGATAAACAACTTCAGCAAAGTCTCAGGATATAAAATCAATGTGCAAAAATCACAAGCATTCGTCTACACCAATAACAGACTTAAAGAAAGCCAAATCAAGAGCGAACTGCCATTCACAATTGCTACAAAATACCTTGGAATACAACTCACAAGGAACGTAAGGGACCTCTTCAAGGAGAACTACAAACCACTGCTCAACGAAATCAGAGAGGACACAAACAGATGGAGAAACATTCCATGTTCATGGTTAGGAAGAATTAATATCGTGAAAATGGCTATACTGCCCAAAGTAATTTACAGAATCAACGCTATCCCCATCAAGCTACCATTGACTTTCTTCACAGAACTGGAAAAAAACCACCATGAACTTCATATGGAACCAAAAGAGAGCCCGCATAGCCAAGTCAATTCTAAGCAAAAAGAACACAGCGGGGGGCATCACACTACCGGATTTCAAACTATACTACAAGGCTACAGTAATCAAAACAGCATGGTACTGGTACCAAAACAGAGATATAGACCAATGGAACAAAACAGAGGCACCGGAGGCAACACAACATACATACAACTATACAATCTTTGATAAACCTGACAAAAACAAGCAATGGGGAATGGTGTTGGGAAAACTGGCTAGCCATGTGCAGAAAGCAGAAACTGGACCCCTTCCTGACACCTTACACTAAAATTAACTCCAGATGGATTAAAGACTTAAACATAAGACCTGGCACCATAAAAACCCTAGAAGGAAATCTAGGCAAAACTATCCAGGACATAGGAGTAGGCAAGGACTTCATGAACAAAACACCAAGAGCATTGGCAACAAAAGCCAAAATAGACAAATGGGACCTAATGAAACTCCACAGCTTCTGCACGGCAAAAGAAACAGTCACTAGAGTGGATCGGCAACCAACAGAATGGGAAAAAATTTTCGCAGTCTACCCATCTGACAAAGGGCTGATATCCAGAATTTACAAACAACTCAAGCAGATTTACAGGAAAAAAACAAACAAGCCCATTCAAAAGTGGGCAAAGGATATGAACAGATACTTTACGAAAGAAGACATATATGAGGCCAACAATCATATGAAAAAATGCTCATCTCATCAGAGAGATGCAAATCAAAACCACACTGAGATACCATCTCACGCCAGTTAGAATGGCGATCATTAAAAAATCTGGAGACAACAGATGCTGGAGAGGATGTGGAGAAAAAGGAACACTTTTACACTGTTGGTGGGAGTGTAAATTAGTTCAACCATTGTGGAAGACAGTGTGGCGATTCCTCAAGGCCTTAGAAATAGAAATTCCATTTGACCCAGCAATCCCATTACTGGGTATATATCCAAAAGACTATAAATCGTTCTACTATAAGGACACATGTACACGAATGTTCATTGCAGCACTGTTGACAATAGCAAAGACCTGGAATCAACCCAAATGCCCATTGATAATAGACTGGATTGGAAAAATGTGGCACATATACACCATGGAATATTATGCAGCAATCAGAAATGATGAGTGTGTGTCATTTGTAGGGACATGGATGAATCTGGAAAACATCATCCTCAGCAAACTGACACATGAACAGCATATTCTCACTCATAGGTGGGTGATGAAAAATGAGAACACATGGACACAGAAAGGGGAGTACTAAACACTGGGGTCTATTGGGGGGAAAAGGGGAGGGCCAGTGGGAGGGGGAGGTGGGGAGGGATAGCCTGGGGAGAAATGCCAAATGTGGGTGAAGGGGAGAAGAAAAGCAAAGCACACTGCCATGTGTGTACCTACGCAACTGTCTTGCATGCTCTGCTCATGTACCCCAAAACCTATAATCCAATAAAAAATAAAAAAAAAATAAAAAAAAAAAGTTTAAATTGAATCTTGAGATGTTTTACCCAGCAGTGTTATTACATGTCTGTAGAAGCTGCTATGCATTGCTGAGAGGGGAAACAGAGTTTCATCCCTAAACCAAGGTTTTAGTCTCTATTCCTCACTACACTCTCCCTGCAAATGTTATACCTCTGTACTTCAGCTTTTCTGTCCTCAGCAAATCGAGAGTAAAATGCCCACTTCTACTGTAGTCAGGATAAATTAATTTAGACAGAAACAAAGTCTGCAGCGTTTCATTACACAGAGGAGAGATGGACGATCATTTATTATTTTGGTGACTGTGCCCCTTTGGGAATTACCGTATTTCTGCAGGTTGGTGACCAGGGAGTAGGCAGTAACTGTGGATGTCAGGAATGTCTCTTTGAGGTCTCGGAAGTTCTGTTGGCATTTTTCCAATTGAGAGCATTAGTACTGATTGGTTTCCAGGATGCTCATTTCTGCCCTTGGACCAAAACAAGTGGTGGGAGATACTGCCATGCTGAAGCTGGTGCAGGAAGTAGACCCAGAGCCGAGGGAGAAGAAACCCAAACAAATAATACATTCAAAGCAAATAGGCCAGGTGCGGTGGCTCACACCTGTAATCCAAGCATTTGGGAAGCTGAGGCGGGCGGATCATGATGTCAAGAGATCAAGACCATCCAGGCCAACACAGTGAAACCCTGTCTCTATTAAAAAATACAAAAAATTGCTGGGCATGGTGGCACGCACCTGTAGTCCCAGCAACCTGGGAGGCTGAGGCAGAAGGATTGCTTGAACCAGGACGCGGAGGTTGCAATGAGCTGAGATCGGGCCACTGCACTCAAGCCTGGTGCCTGGTGACAGAGTGAGAATCTGTCTAAAAATAAATAAATAAATAAATAAATAAAATAAAACAAATGAATGGATTGTGGGAATGGTTGCACTACTTGGGTAAATTACTAAAAATTATTGAACTCCACAATTATAATGGGTAATTTTATAGTATGTAAATTATACCTCAATAAAGATTCTTCACATAAAAAAGGGGATTTAAACAGGTGTAAAGACAGCAGATCTGAGTCATAAGTTACTTTTGGGGTGAACTTTGTCAGCATCCCACAACTCTGAATATCCTTAGCCACAAATGCAAGGCACGAGGTGGTTAAGCTTAGAGTCCCCGGTACTGTCTGTGGTTCAGACTGACAGGAAGGCCGGAGCTAGCGGTAACGGTCTGGAGTCACAGCAGCAGAATCAGAAGTGGGGGCATCGGGGAACATTAGGATCTCTGTCTTCCAGGTGTCTAGGCCATGTGGAAACACAAGGTCTCTTCTGAAGTCACCACCAATGGAGACCCCGCCCTCAGCAGTCATTCTCAACCTTTATATACCCTTGTGACAAAACCACAGGCCTCTCTCTTTCTAAAATTTACCCACATTCTCATTGTTTGTCATTGCAAATGCATAGAAAACATCAGGGAATACATATTTCCCGAAGTCCTAGCACTGTCTTGAGGACGGTCATGAAGTCATTTTTTTCCCAATTAAAAATGTCCCACTTTTAGATAGTCTTGGTATTCCTTTTTATTCTCCAGTTTTCCACATCATTTTAATACTGTAAGAAAAACCTTGAATATTCTGTTCAGTGTGTGAATAATTTACTCATAAGGATTTCGAGGCCAGGTGCAGTGGCTCACACCTGTAATCCCAAGGTGGGTGCATCCCTTGAGCTCAGGAGTTTGAGACCAACCTGGGAAGCATAGTGAAACCCTGCCGCTACAAAACATTTTAAACTGAGCCGGGCATAGTGGTGCCCACCTGCAGTCCCAGGGATTCAGGAAACTGAGGCAAAGGATCGCTTGGGCCCAGGAGTTTGTGGCTGCAGGGAAGTAAGACCACGCCCCTGCGCTACAGTTTTGATGACAAAGTGAGACCCTGTCTTCAAAAAATAAAAACAAAATAAAAAATAAAAGGCTTTTGGTCAATGTCTTATTATTCTTATTACTGCAAACCAGTGTTATACTGGCATCTTTTTCCCCACTGGGGAAGCACGTTAGATTTTTTAATTTGATTTTTAATAGGTAAGGTCTATCTCTGCTGCTCAAGCTGGAGTGTGATGGTGTGATCACAGCTCACTGCAGCCTCAAACCCTCAGCCTCAAGGGATCCTCCTGCCTCAGCCTAATTGCTGGGACATCACACTCAGCTATTGTGTGTGTGTGTGTGTGTGTGTGTAAATGGGGTCTCACTATGTTGCCCAGGCTGGTCTCAAACTCCTGGGCTCAAGTTATTCTCACACCTTGGCCTCCCAAAGTGTTGGGATTACAGGCGTAAGCACCACTCCTGGCCCATGTTGCCTTTTCATTTAATTAGAAGACTAGATTGGTATGCCTAACTCCTAACCCCACTCTCCTCTTCTATGTGTCAGTTGCTTTGTGTTATAATCTCTATATATGTATTTTATGCTCATCACTTATGATTTTCATTTTAACTCCACGAGCTCTCTTTCCAGTTTGTCACGATCACTGAAATAATTTATGTGCATCTCTTTAAACACATGTAGTAGCCTCCTAATTTGGAATGACTTATAAACTTACTATTTATATGTTTGAAGCAGTTTTTATGGAGCACTAAAGATGTGCATTGACCCAAAGCCACTGGCCTAAGGATATACTGGCAGTGGGTGGTGATCCTCGGCATTCCTGTGCAATGGGGTTTAGTGGGACAGAAGCTGAGGTTTTAATGACAGGCACAGATAGGCAGAAGAGAAGCGGTGCCCTGACGCACCCCTCACTTCCTGTGATCACTTCCTCCCTGGTTCTGTGAGACTGACACTAGGGAGACTCTTATGGAATATCTGTCTTTTCCCTTCAGCTGTCTGACTTGCCTGGGCTACTGGCCTGCACATGTGTAACCATGGTCGCCTCCATTTTCATGACAAACTGAAGGAAGGAGGGCCAACAACCTCACGCCCTCCATGCTAACCTGCAGCTGTGCTGTGAGAGTATTAGTTAGTGAGATGTCGCAAAAACTTCATGATTTCAATCCTTTTACTTTTATTATGATTTATCTTAAGGGCCAGCAGATGGTCTGTCCTGTAGAATGGCCCATGTGTACTTGAGAGGAAGCGTGTACTGCTCTTGTTGTGTGGAGTATCGTTGTGTTGTTTACATCTTTTCTTTATTGATCTTCTGCCTAGTTGCTCCATCCATTATTGAAAATATGGCATTAAAGTCTCCATCTACTATTGTTGAATTGTCTATTTCTCCCTTCAGTTCTTTTGTTTTTAATTGATAGCTTTATTTTTAACAATGGAAACAACTTTGCCACTCTAGAAACAATGTTAGGAGAGAAAAACCTTCCCTACAAAAATAAACTGAAACCCATCAAAATGATAAATATTGTAACTTTTGACTTCTGCCATTTAAGATGCTCCCACAATCCTTCCCCTTCATTTAACACCCTTCCTGTACCACCGCATGCTGAAGAGAAAACAGTATTACAGCAAAGCTTACATAGTAGAACATAACGATTTATACAATGATTCTTAAAAATCTTTGACCTTAGTGGCCTTTTTTCTTCACTTACGCATTAAAAATGCTCCCGCAGTAACCAGTGTTTGAGGAAAAACCTCAGTATTTCAACACAGCAGGTTTCCAAATGGCAATGTGTAGTGTGCATGACAGTGAGCGAGGTTCTGGATGAATACAGATGAGGACGCCTAGTTAGACAGTCTACTTCAAGTCGTTAAAAAAATTCAGATGCCCATCAGCTACTACTTTAGGTCCTAACAGTGTCCTTAATCTGAGAAACAAACGCCTCCAAAATGTAAGTTTACTGGGATGAATGAGTGACAAACCAGGTGGCTGAGAACAATATGCTTAAACCCAGGCCATAGTCCGAGTAGTAAAACCAGCATAAAAGTCACAAAGGCATTCCCTGAGCAATAAAGGTAATGTGCTGGGCGACACTGTCACTAGACCTCATCAATGTCCTAAAGACAAGTTACGTGCAAAATTAAACAGGATGTGCCACACAGATTTTATAGCTGCTAATTCTATTTCTTTTCAACTTTCCTTAAATGCTTAGGAAGGTGAGATTGTCTCAGTAAATTGTGTGCACAGCACAGCAGTCTGCCTCCAAGACGGGTATTGTCTGAAAAGTAAATCCCGTTTGAATTCATGGTCATCTTCAACTGCTCTGTGACTGCTAAGTTGTATTTATGAACTTTCTCTCTTTTTTTTTTTTTTTTTTTTTTGAGATGGAGTTTCGCTCTTGTTACCCAGGCTGGAGTGCAATGGCACAATCTCGGCTCACCACAACCTCCGCCTCCCGGGTTCAGGCAATTCTCCTGCCTCAGTCTCCTGAGTAGCTGGGATTACAGGCATGCACCACCATGCCCAGCTAATTTTTGTATTTTTAGTAGAGACGGGGTTTCACCATGTTGACCAGGATGGTCTCAATCTCTCGATCTCGTGATCCACCCGCCTTGGCCTCCCAAAGTGCTGGGATTACAGGCTTGAGCCACTGCGCCAGGCCTGAACTTTATCTTTGATCTCCTCTTTGCTGATGTAACTGGGTTTCCTTCTCTCTCTTTTTTTTTTTTTTTTTTTGAGATGGAGTCTCACTCCATAGGCAGGCTGGAGTGCAGTGGCGTGATCTTGGCTCACTGCAACCTCTGCCTCCCGGGTTCAAGCACTTCTCCTGCCTCAGCCTGCCGAGTAGCTGGGCCTACAGGCGCTGCCACCACGCCCAGACAATTTTTTATATTTTTAGTAGAGACGGGGTTTCACCATGTTGACCAGGATGGTCTCGATCTCTTGACCTCGTGATCCACCCGCCTGGGCCTCCCAAAGTGCTGGGATTACAGGCGTGAGCTGCCACGCCCAGCCTGGTTTCCTTTTCTTTCTCAACATTGCCCTGGGGCGCTCTCCTGAAGCAGCAGGTCCTGGCGGTGAAGAAGTCCTGGGCGTCCTTCTCCAAGCCGCTGTAGCCGCTGCTCAAGCTGCGGTTCCCACCGCGGCCGGGCGGCTTCCCGGGGACGCAGGCGGCGGGGCAGCGGATGCCGCGCGCACTACCCCCGCGCGCACCCCCCCCCGCGCGCACCCCCCCCCCGCGCTCACCCCCCCCCCGCGCCGCGCGCACCCCCCCCCGCGCGCACCCCCCCCCCGCGCGCACCCCCCCCCGCGCGCACCCCCCCACCCGCGCGCACCCCCCACCCCCACCCCCGCGCGCGCGGTTTCCCGCGTCCTGCTGCAGCTGCTGCCGCCCTTCATTTCTGTCATCGTTTGCTTCCCGTGTTTTCAGGCTCGGTTAGATGCATCTGTGTTTATAATTGTACTTTCTTCCGGATAGATTAACCTGTTATCATTACAAAATACCCCTCATTGACTTTGGTAACTTGTGTTAAAATCTCTTGTTCAGGCGCGCATGGCGGCTCACGCTTGTAATCCCAGCACTTTGGGAGGTGAAGGCAGCGGATCACCTGAGGTCAGGAGTTCAAGACCGGCCTGACCAACATGGAGAAACCTCGTCTCTACTAAAAATACGAAATTAGCCAGGCGTGGTGGTGCGCGCCGGTAATTCCTGCTACTCGGGCGGCTGAGGCAAGAGAATCGCTTGAACTGGGAGGCGGAGGTTGCGGCGAGATCATGCCATTGCACTCCAGCCTGGGCAACAAGAGTGAAACTTCATCTAAAAAAAAAGCAACAAATCTCTTGTTTATTTTGTCTACTATTAGCACAGTTGTTACTGAAACACCAGGGGTTTAAGTCTTGTGCTGCTCACTGCATAGAAATGCAGTCACTGACAGGAAAGAAGGCTTTCCTCAGGCTCTGCAGCTGAGGAGGCAAAGATCAGCCTTAAATCCAGCTCTCAAATGTGGAGTTTAGAGAGCAGGGAAGAAATGTAACTACATGCAGGAGAAGAGAAATTAGGGCGAGGAGGGAAGGAGGAATTGGTCAACAGGAAACAGGTGGGCGCTGAGGCAATTAGGACGGGATGAGGACTCTCACATCTCATTGTCCAGAGGAGGCACTCTGGTAAATTTCAGTTCTCTGATACTCTCTGAAAGACCCATAGTTGATTTCCTGAGAAAGGAACTCAGGTAATAAAAATGTAACTTTCTCAAATTTCAAGACTGGGAGGGTCAATTTCTAGGTTTATTTAAAAGAAACCATAAACATCAGGGTTTTTTTTTTGTTTGTTTTGTTTT